TAAGGCTACAAACATAAGAAGCTTCTAAAAGGTGGAGAGAAGAAGGCAAACTGACTAGTGATCTCAGGACCCAAGGAAAGATATGGTGGTGAGTTCCCTGGCTTTTTATTTTGCCTCAGATATCCCAAAGTGGATACTAGAGAGGACAGCAACCTGGAATTGTCAATAGATGTAGAAAAAATAAAAAATAAATAAAACTCTAAGAAACACCTGCTCTCTAGCCAAAGAACCAGGAACAGGGCTACCTAGCAAGACAGAAACATTTTAAGTAGTAACTGCTAAGTCAAACATTGCAAAAAATGAGGCATCTGCCACCTCCCACACCAGTAAAGACCAAGTGGTAAGCCTATACTTCCACCATTGCTAGGCTATAACATGGTACCTCAATCTCCCTGCTGGGGTGGTGTCAGAGGATGCTAATTGGGAAGCCAGGGATTTTCATCTACACTAGAAAGTAACAAATCACGCTTCTGGTATCAGTGAAACCCATTTGGGGATCCTGGACTTCTACTCCTATCTGATGGTAAAAAGGCATCCTCCTCTTCTTACTGAGTAATGTCAGAGAAGGCCTACTAGAGAGTTAGGCCCTTCACCACCGCTTGGTAGTAACAAGGCCATGTTCACATGTTGTCAATAAATGCTACATTAGGAGCACAACTGAAGTGTTCCTGTCCTCCCAGCCAGAAGGTTATCAGTAGAGGCCTAGTGGGTAGCCAGAACTCCCACTTATGGCTACAAGTATCAAGAAGCCCTTCTGTCTTCCATGGGTGTCAATGGAGACAGAGTGGAGAATATGAACTTCCTTCACCATCTGGAACTAACAATGAACCAGAGGCTTAAAACATAATAGCCAACATGTCCATATTTCTAGTAAAACACTCATCCAACTGAATATGAAATAATCAACCTCTGCCAACACAAAGAAAACACAGAAGTCAGAATGATCTGACAAGCACTTTAAAGCAGTTATCATAAAAATTCTTCAGTGAGCATGCTTGAAACAAAAATACAGAAAGTCTCAGCACAAGAATAAAATATATAAAGAACCAGATGGAAAAGACACAATACCAAAATGAATAAAGGGAATTGAGGAAAGAATCAGGGAAAGAAAGACAAAACACTGGAAATTGCTCAATCTGAATAATAGAGAGAACGAAAACAGAGAAAAACGAAATAAGAGAGTCTCAGGGGTCTGTGGGACCATAAAAAAGATCATTTGAGTCATCAGAGTTCTGGAAGGAAAAAAGAAAAGGGGCAGAGCTGAAAAAGTATTCAAATAAATAAGAGCTGAAAATTCTCAAATTTGGCAAAAGACATAAACCTATAGAATCCAGTACCTAAGAGTATCCAAATAGGATAAATCCAAAGAAATTCATGCCAAAACACATCCCAGAAAAACTTCTGAAAACTAAAGACAGAGAAAGTCTTGAAAGCAGCAAGAATCAAACACCTTGGAGTGATGCTGGTTCCTTCTGGGGACATCACTACTCATCAGGGAAATGCAAATCAAAACCACAATAAGAGGCCACCTCATACCTGTCAGAATGGCTAAAAGCAAAACACCAGAAACAAGTGTTGGTGAGGATGTGGAGAAAAAGGAGCCCTCATGCATTGTTGATGGGAATACAAACTGTGGATATATAGTATATATATTACAACTAAATTACAGTATGGAGTTTCCTCTGTACTGTGGAAAGTAGTATGGAATTTCCTCAAAAAAATAAAAATAGAACTACCATATGATCCAGTAATTCCACTATTAGGTATTTACCCAAAGAATATGAAAACAGTAATTCAAAAGGATAAATGCAACCCTATGTTTTATTATAGCATTATTTACAATAGCCAGATTATAGAAGCAACCCAAGTGTCCACTGATAGATGAATGAATAAAGAAGTTGTTTATATACACAATGGAATATTACTGAGCCATGAAAAGAATAAAATCCTGCCATTTGCAACAACATAGGTGAATCTAGACAGTATAATGCTAAGTGAAATAAGTCAGAGAAAGACAAATACTATATGATCTCATGCATACATACAATTGAAAAAAACAACAACAACAAAAGAAAGAGATAAACCAAAAAATAGACTCCGCAATAGGGAAAACAAACTGGTAGTTGACAGAGAGAGGGTGGTGGTGGGGGACATGGGTAGAATAGGTGAAGGGAATTAAGAGTATACTTATTGTGATGAGCACTAAGTAATGAGTAAGATCAATATATTGTATACCTGGGGCGCCTGGGTGGCTCAGTGGGTTAAAGCCTCTGCCTTTGGCTCAGGTCATGATCTCAGGGTCCTGGGATCGAGCCCCACATCGGGCTCTCTGCTCAGCAGGGAGCCTGTTTCCTCCTCCTCTCTCTCTGCCTACCTCTCTGCCTACTTGTGATCTCTGTCTGTCAAATAAATAAATAAAATCTTAAAAAAAATATATTGTATACCTGAAATGAATATAACACTGTATATTAATCATACTTCATTTTGAAAAATGTATAGGGAGAAAAACAATTTGAGTGACAGAGGGTTTTTCATCAGAAATCATGGAGGACAGAAAGAAGTAATGTAAAATAAGGCCAGAAAGAAGTAACACAAAATAAGCATTTTTCAACTGTGGAAATAAGTTGCCAAACTCAGAATTCTGTATGTAGAAAAAATATCCTTCAGGAGTGAAGGGGAAATCAAGACCTTCTCAAATGTAAAAAACTAAAAGACTTTGTCACTAGCAGACCTATCCTAAAAGAGTTAAATTGGAAGTATCCTAAAAGAGTTGAATTGAAAAAGAAGGAATTTTAGAGAATCAGGAAGGAAGAATATGATAGAGCAAAAATACAGGTAAATAAATAGACAAATGGAGAGGTCATAGCTAATGGGTATGGAATTTCTGTTTTGAGGTGATGAAAATTTCTAAAATTAACTAAGGAAATGGTTACAAATGATCTATGAATATACCAAAAATCATTGAATTATGCACTTTCAATGGGTAAATTTTATCTCAATAAAGTTTTTTTAAAAATCACAATAGTGGTAGCTTAAGGAAAGGGGCACAAAAGGATTTCCTGAGCATGAATGGGCAAGTTTTATATCTTGATCTAGGTGATGGTAACATAGGTGTAAATATATATCTTAGTCAAAATTAATCAAACTAAACCTTTCATTTTGTGTATTTACTCTTATAGTTATACCACAATAAAGAATATTAGGATAAGAAATTGATAGGTAATCTCGAATTCCTTTCCAAAATGCTTTTTACCAATTTACATTAATAGCAACAGTATATTAAAATTCAAGTGCTCCACATCTTACCAACTATAATATTGATAATTTAAGGGACTAAGTATGGGACCCCATTGTATTTTTTTGTTTTTTTTTTTAATTTTTAAATTTTTTCTTTTCAGCGTAACAGTATTCATTGTTTTTGCACTGCACCCAGTGCTCCATGCAATCCGTGCTCTCTCTAATACCCACTACCTGGTTCCCCCAACCTCCCACCCCCCGCCCCTTCAAAACCCTCAGATTGTTTTTCAGAGTCCATAGTTTCTCATGGTTCACCTCCCCTTCCAATTTCCCTCAACTCCCTTCTCCTCTCCATTTCCCCTTGTCCTCCATGCTATTTGTTATGCTCCACAAATAAGTGAAACCATATGATTATTGACTCTCTCTGCTTGACTTATTTCACTCAGCATAATCTCTTCCAGTCCCATCCATGTTGCTACAAAAGTTGGGTATTCATCCTTTCTGATGGAGGCATAACACTCCATAGTGTGTGTGTGTCTTTTAAAAGAAATACTTCTCTGACACAAGTGGGTAAGTTTGTCTCCTATATTGTCTTTAATCTTCCTGGAAATTGTTATATGTGTGTGTTATAAGATAGAAATACAATTTTATTTCTAAATTTGCTTTATTTCTCCATATGGTGGACCTATTTTGTTTGTACCATTTATGATAGATTATATCTGTATTCTTTTTTCTATTTCATTAATCATTTTATATGTATTTTGATGCCATTGATAGTGTCTTACTATTTATAATTTTATAATAAATATGGATCTAGAAGCCAAAAAAACCCCATTTATTTAGATTACTAGAAAAATGCAAGATAAAGTAATGATGTTTCTTAAATGTTTTGTAAGGATGAGGATTTTTTTTTTTTTTTTTGACAGAGAGATCACAAGTAGGCAGAGAGGCAGTCAGAGAGGCAGGCAGAGAGAGAGGGGGGAAGCAGGCTCCCGCTGAGCAGAGAGCCCAATGCGGGGCTCGATCCCAGGACCCTGAGATAATGACCTGAGCCGAAGGCAGAGGCCTTAACACACTGAGCCACCCAGGCACCCCAGGATGAAGATTGAATCATTGAATTCCTTAGATGTTTTATTATTGTGGCAAATTAGCCACAAGCAAATGCATCTTTTTAGTTTTCAAATTAATATCCTAAGGGTGAAAATTATTTATTTGCCCTCAACAACATATTATTTTCCATTTTTGCTCTCCATTCATTTAAACAATAATGACCATAGAAATCTACTAGTGGTACCCCAAATTTAATCTTGCTTTCAATTTTGTATATCAGTTTTTTTATTTGATTCTTAATAATAAAAAATATGAGGTCAGAGAGGTTTAGAATACTAATGACTTCCATTGTCTCTTACTCTAACTTAAGGAATTTCTGATAGCTCTCTAGTAATTGTCATGCTTTTTGACTTGATAATCTGTTTTCTAGACATTAATTGAGAACAAAAGTGTTGGTGGAATGAGACCTATAGTAATTTTAGGCCACATTTTAATAGGAATGAGTGCTTGCTTTGTTTGAATACATTTCACAGACATAAGTATCTGAATGAGGGAGTTATCTCTATTAATGACTTGAACTTTACTACTTTTTATAGTTCTTTTTTTTCCTCTAGCTGTTTTAGAAATTGAGAGTAAACTATGGAAATTATAAATATGGTACAAGCTTAAGAAATAATACCATAAAACACTGAAATCAGATAATGAAGACTTACCTCTATTTCTTTTCTTAATTTTTCATGTGTCTTTTTCTCTTCTTCAAGAAAACAAGTTTTTTCAGTGATAGATTCTTTTACAGTTACAATTTTATCCTTTAACTCTGTAATGTCTTCCTGTATGTTTACAGAAGTTTAAAATATACAAGTCAAACAATGAATGGTCAATATAAGTCCAACATTTTTAGTATATCTATAATTTAAAGAAACTAGCCATCACATTTAATTTTGGTAAAAAGGATTAGAATATTATTTTTATAGGTACAAAGAATAAAGAACTGTTACTCAAACAAATAAACCTTTGATTTAAAAACTTAAAATTAAAACTAAATGTAAATAAGATATTTTAAAAAGTGGTAGTCATACTGGCCATTGCACAGGAACAGTAACTAATAGTACAGTATATGTTAATTAAATTGAATTTAAATGTAAAAAGGATAAAAACTTAAAATTAAAACAAAATGGAAATAAGATGTAAGAAAAGTAGTAGTCATAGTGGCAATTGCCCAGCAACAGTGTAAAGGAATCTTTTAAATTCTCTAGCAAGAAACAACAGGTATTTTAAGTTTATATCTCCCATTGTCTTCAAAAAATGGTATAAAAATAAAAAAAATTCTTAAGGCACTATTATTAATTGATATTGTTTGTAGAATAGCATTAAGCATACGAAATTGATTTGAATTGGTCAGATCCATTAACCTAGGAAGTGAGGACTTCAACACTTTTGTGAGTCACACTTTCTGAAACAAATGGATTAATTGTTCACTGTAAATTTTTTGACTATATATTTTTATTAATCCACAGGGGATTTGAGAAAAACTCCCTTATGTATTTGTACATTTCGTATAGTTGTTATATAACTCATGTATTTAAGTTTTTAAAAGTTGTGAAAATAGTTTCTGAATCTAGTTAAGACAGTTATAGACATTTTATTAAGTTAATGATAAGTGTTTCGCTTAATAAGTAAGAGTACTTGCAAAAAAAGAGTAATAGAAAAAATTTTGATAAAGGATATTTCAAACCTGTACTTGTTTTATGTGATTTCCTTCTGGATTTTGGAGATTTTGCATAAGTTCCTCTTTCATGCTTTTTAGCTTTTTAACAAGATCTCGTTTTTCATGAAGTACAGTCATGAATGACCATTTGCTTTCTACCTCCCCCCAACCATCTTTATGCTCTTTTATTTTTGCGTAGTATTCATTATATCTTATCATGTGTTCCTCAAAGTCTTCTTGGGCTGCTTCTATGTCAAATTTAAGCTTTACATTTTCTGTATGTAAGGATTTGATTTGAGTTTCCAGGTTCCCACACTGAAGTTTGGCATTCTCTATGGCAGCATCTTGCTGACAAATTTGCCTTTCTATTTCTTTAGTTTCTGCAGAGACAGATGCTATTTGTTTTTCAAGCTCATGGAGTTCATTCTGTAAAATGTTTCAATATTATTATTATTAATTCATGATATTCAACATTAGAAGAATGTTATTGTTTTGATCCATATGTCTGTAGCAAAATCACAACATAAAAATACACATTTATCAGATATAGAAAAATTGATATACAATAAAAGGAACCATTCAGTAAGTAAGAAAATTATTTTATAATGTTAGAGGGAGCCGAGAGTTATATATTTCTTACTTTTTAATGTTCATCTAATTCAAAATATTAAAATTTTATAATTTGTGTTAACACTTTATAAATAAAAAGTTTTACTTCCTCCTTTCAATATGGATGAAATTATTTATTTTTATTTATTTTTACTATTTATTTATTTATTTTTCTTTCAATGAATGCACTTGCTTGAACCACCAATACCATAGAAAGAACAGAAGTGGTAAGATCACATATCCTTGCCTTCCTTGCTCCTGGTCTTAGGAGAGAAACATTCACTTTTTCACCATTAGATAAGTTGGCTATAGGATTCATAAAGGGACGTATATGTCCTTTTTTAGATTATGGAAGTTGTACTCCTAATTTGCTAGTTTTTATCATGAATGGATGTTGGATTATGAAAAGTATTTTTATGCGTCTTTAATTCTCTTTCTAAATATAAATGTACTAATTTGTTCTCTTGCTTAAATCCCGCCAAAACCTTCCCATTATCTTTAATATAATGTCCAAGTTTCTTATCATAGTATGTATCTCCCACTACTTCTCAAAACATACCCTATACTATACTGCCACCAAACCACATATACAGTTGACCCTTGAGCAACACATGCATGGGTCCATTTATAGGCAGATTTTTATATATCTAAAAAGTACAGTACTATAAATGTATTTTCTCTTCCTTGTGATTTTTTTAAAAAAAGATTTTATTTGTTTGAAAGACAGAGTGAGCGAGCGTGAGAGAGAACAAGCCAAGGGGAGAGGCAGAGGGTGAAGTTGACTCCACCCTGAGCAGGAAGCCCAGTGCAACTTGCAACTCAAGGCTTGATTCCAGGACCCTGGGATTATGACCTGAGCTCAAGGCAGATGTTTAACCGACTGAGCCACCCAGGTGTCCCCTTGTGATTTTCTTAATGATATTTTTTTTTCTCTAGCTGACATTATTGTAAAAATATAGTATATAAAACATGTAACTTAAAAATATGTCTATTGGTAAGTCTTCTAGTCAATAGTAGACTATTGTAGTTAAATTTTGGGTGAGTCAAAAGTTATATGTTGATTTAACTAGCTCAGGGTAGCACTCCTAATCTCCACATTATTCAAGAATCGACTGTAGTTCTATGACTGTATCAAATGCTCTTTCAGGCTTCTGTGAATTTTCTCGGGATCTTCTTGCCCAGAATACCATCCTTTTCACACCCAAACCTTAAACCTGTCCTAGATAGCCAATATTCAGGTGAACTCCAGCTGTCTTCTTTTTTTAAACTCAATATAAATGTCACTTTGTGATCATTCCTTTAGCGTTAAATGTGTTCATGCCTTCATTGTTGACATTACTACCCTGCGTATAATTATTTATTTATTTGTCTCCCTCTTCAATAGATGAGTGAGGACAATGTTTGGCAAAATGCTTAATAAAAAGTAGGCTATTGATATAAGTGAAATAACACCTGTGAAACTCATTGGAGAGTGAGAAATTTTACAGAAAATTTCCTTATAAAGAGCTAAGACATTATTATATTATATTCTCTTGCAAAAAATGTATTATTTTCTAAAAGTAACTATGCAATGTAAATATTTATGAGATCCATATTACCATGGTAGTATAATTATTAATCATCATATCTCTGCTGATACATTAATACCTAAAGCCAACATCAAAATCTACCTCTATACTGTCTACCAGGGCCCCAGCAGGATACTGTACATATATTTACAAATATTAACACATTTAATCCTCATGAAAACCTTGTAGGCAGGTCGTACTATTATCTCTATTTTACAAATACAAAAACAGAAGCACAGAGAAATTAAACAATGGAGCTAAAAGCAGCAAATTCTGCCTTTCAAACTAGGCTGCTGGGTTCTAGAGCCTATTTTTCAGTTCCATAATATATTTAATAATAATCTTTAAAAAACACATAGTAAATACACCATTTCCATTTTTCTTTAGCTATATTAAGAGTATAGTTATATCTAATTGTGCTGCATACAAAAAACAAGTATGGCTTCCAAATTCCCCACAGTGGAATCATGAATACATTATGAAATATAAGGAACACAAAAATGTTTCTCATCACCTTGTAATGTTCACTGACAACTAATAGCCATGGCTTTAAAGACACTGGCTTAAAAACTTAACCTTTCTTCAATTTAACATTTTAGGAAAAACTGAAATAGAAGTGAATTTAAAATAATTCTATGTGATACATTGGGCTTTATATGTACATACTACAGTTCTAAGGACATTGCTGAATCCTTGTATATTGGGTGTGTGAAATGTTCCATGAAACTAAAATACTTGTATAGACTTCACTTTGGGGTAATAGAATAATTAAGAAGGAGTAAACATGAAAAACAGGAGTTTCAAATAGCCTCCCAACTTCCCTGTTATTAATTCAATATCATTTTAAAGACAGTATTGACTCATTTAAAAGACTATATGAAGTAAATTACCTGCAAATGGAACAAAACTTTTTTGTTTTTTTCTATTTCTGATGTTTGTGATTGTTGTTGCTTTGCAACTTGCTCTACAGCGTCAGTTAATGTAGATGTGCCTTGGTTAGCCAGAGCTAGACAAAAGAATAAAGTACATAAAACTGTAAGTTGCAAACACTCTAAGAAAGTTATTGTTTCTTCACTCAAAGTCATGAAAAATGTGATATGTCTCATAAATAAAATAGATTTAGAATTGGTAATATTCCCTTTCTGACTATAAACAAAACCAAAATCAAAAGCCATAATAATACACAATAGCCTACCATAATGTTATACCTGTTCCTGTACGGAACAGTATAAATATTTTGATTGTCCCCATTTTTTTTAATCCAGACCACTTACACATATGCATAATTATAGTGCTACCATAATAAGTATACAGCAATTATAGTTGATGAATTTTCATTAAAGGCCTGTTGTTATGCCTTTTCTAAATACCATCTAAGTGTCCTCCTGGAGAAATTTAATAGCTTCCTTCTATTGTATTTGGCTATACATTTTAACACAATTATCCTATCATACTACCTTTTTGTTGCTGCTTATCCTTTAATTATTTCTTTCTTTTTTTAAAAAATAATTTATTTCTTAAGATTGCTTCATTACCTTCTTCAGGAACTCCTTGACTCTTCCTTTCTTTGTTGCCTGACATTCTACTCTGTCTCTTTCTCTCTTTTTGGTTCACTTTCTTTAGGCCTATAAAATAATCAATATTGATAATTTTTCACTTTTCTTTCTTTTTTTCTCCTGTCATATATCCTGGTGATCCTGAAAACAACTGTTCACTAAAAGGACAAGCCAGAATCTTGCCTTCTCTCTTATATGCTGCATGCAATTCTTTTAGTAAAACTTATTGGTTCTACCTTTAAATTATATTGGAATCCACTCATTGCTTACCACTTTTAAATACTATTACTAAAGAGGCTTCCGTCATAACATTCTTTAAAACATGACCTCTCCTCCTTCATTTTCCATTTCCTTATCCTACTCATTTTTCTTTTTTTTATTCATTATTTTTATTAACATATAGTGTATTATATCCCCCAGGAGTACAGGTCTGTGAATCACCAGGCTTACACACTTCACAGCACTCACCATATCACATACCCTCCCCAATGTCCATAACCCAACCACCCTCTCCCTACCCACCTCCCCCGCAGCAACCCTCAGTTTGTTTTGTGGAATTAAGAGTCTCTTATAGTTTGTCTCCCTCCCCATCCCATCTTGTTTCATTTTTTCCTTCCCTACCACCCAGACCCACCACTCTGCCTCTCAAATTCCTCATATCAAGGAGATCATATGATAATTGTCTTTCTCTGATTGACTTATTTCACTCAGCAGAATACCCTCTAGTTCCATCCATGTCATTGCAACTGGCAAGATTTCATTTCTTTTGATGGCTGCATAGTATTCCATTGTATATATATACCACATCTTCTTTATACAGTCATCTGATGATGGACATCTAGGTTCTTTCCATAGTTTGGCTATTGTGGACAGTGCTTCTGTAAATATTCAGGTGCAAATGCCCCTTTGGGATCACTACATTTGTATCTTTAGGGTAAATACCCAGTCGTGCAATTGCTGGGTTGTAGGGTAGCTCTATTTTCAACTTTTTGAGGAACCTCCATGCTGTTTTCCAGAGTGGCTGCACCAGCTTGCATTCCCAAAAACAGTGTAGGAGAGTTTCCCTTTCTCCGCATCCTCTCCAACATATGTCATTTCCTGACTTGTTAATTTAAGCCATTCTGACTGGTATGAGGTGGTATCTCATTGTGGTTTGATTTGTATTTCCCTGATGCCAAGTGATGGTGAGCATTTTTCCATGTGTCTGTTGGCCATCTGGATGTCGTCTTCGCAGAAATGTCTGTTCATGTTTTCTGCTCATTTCGTGATTGGATTATTTGTTCTTTGGGTGTTGAGTTACAGATTTTGGATACTAGCCCTTTATCTGACATGTCATTTGTGAATATCTTCTCCCATTCTGTCAGTTGTCTTTTAGTTTTGTTGACTGTTTCCTTTGCTGTGTAAAAGCTTTTGAGCTTGATGAAGTCGCAATAGTTCATTTTGGCCCTTGCTTCCCTTGCCTTTGGCTATGTTTCTAGGAAGAAGTTGCTGTGGCTGTGGTCGAAGAGATCGCTGCCTGTATTCTCCTCAACTGCTTCATTTTTCTTAATAGCATTTGTCACCATTGATATTTTATATGGATTTGTTTCTTTTTTTTATCTCTTTTTACTAATGCAAGCTCCATAAGGGTAGAGATTAGAACAGTGCGTGGCACTTACTTAATAGGTGTCTATTTGTAGTCTATCTCCACTCCAGTTTACCTTGTTCTAATGATAGAATTATGCTCCTAAAATACTGTTCCCACCATATCAACATCATAGCCAGTCTTTCAACTCCATCATAGATGGCATCTTCTTTAAGAAGTCTTTCTTGGGGCACCTGGGTGGCTCAGTGGGTTAAAGCCTCTGCCTTCGGCTCAGGTCATGATCCCAGGGTCCTGGGATCGTGTCCCGCATCAGGCTCTCTGCTCAGCAGGGAGCCTGCTCCCTCCTCTCTCTCTGCCTGCCTCTCTGCTTACTTGTGATCTCTGTCAAATAAATAAATAAAATATTTTTATTTTAGATAAATATTTAGATACGATCCTTCCCTCTCTTTAGTGCAATTGTTTCTATATCTCTATTATACCATGATAACAGTTTAGGTCATAGAGCAAGATAGAACTAGCTTTGAACTTGGGTTGTACCACTTACTAGTTCATTAGGTAAATTCTTTCCAATCTGGGCCTCAAGGTCCTTATCCTATAAAACAGAAACAATAGTAATACCTATCTCATTGGGAGGACTAAATGAAATAATGCATGACAGCATTTAGCAAATTCCTGCTACTCAACAGTTTTTATTTTTACTATTTCCATTATTATATACTATATCTCTCCATTAGACTGTAAGCTCCAGGAAGACAAATATTATGTCTTATTCATTTCTGTATTCCTTAAAGAATTTGGTGGAGAAATGTAAAAAATGAAGAAAATTAGATTTACATAATAAAAAATAACATAACTGGTACTTCTTGATCTCTATATCTGAAGCAACGTAAACTGAAAAACCCTTGGGTGTCATTTATTTAAATCAACTGATTGTGAAAGGATATCTACTTTAAAATTGGGAAAGTTTGAGGGGCACCTGGGTGGCTCAGTCAGTTAACTGTCTGCCTTTGGCTCGGGTCATGATCTGATCATGGGTGGAATTAAGTACCAAGTGAGGCTACCTGCTCAGAGGTGGAGTTCGCTTCTCTCTCTCCCTTTGCCCCTCTCCCTGCCACTAGCCCCCCAAATAAACAAATAAAATCTTAAAAAAAATTAAATTGGGAGTTTTGTTTTTTTCTTGATCTCTATTGTAGAATGGACAAAAGATAAAAATGAAAATAAACTACTGCCATCTACTGATAATGCATTACAATTGCTTAAATTAATGAAAACAGAGTTTAGACTAGACAGCATCAATTACTCTTTCATTCAAGCCACATATGTAGGTACATATAATATGCAAGGTATTGTGAGGAATATAAAGATGAATTAAGTGACTCTGATTAAAAAAACAATATCTATAGTGTTCCATAGTAAATGTCCAATTTCCATATAAAACAATCATTTAGAAAAAATACTTTCAACTAAAATAATTAGTTTTACAGTAAACAGTGTAATGCAGATGCTATATTAAACTACCATTCTTTTATAACTATAGTCAACATTTATTGAGTACTTGCAAGTAACTAGCATTTTTCTAAGTGCTTTTACATGAATTATCTTTATTTCCCCTCAGAGCAATCCTATAGGCTAAATACTATTTTGACTTATATTTTGTAGATGAATAAACTTAAGACTTGGAGAAATTAAGAAATTAGCCAAAGGCCACACATCCAACAAGTAGGAAGGATGTAATTTGAAACTATTAGGATCCAAATTACATTTATTAGGCACTCAATATGTACTAAAGCACTGGGATAATCATGATTTGTGCATTGTCTCTTTTGCATTGAAGAGGCAAGGCCCTCTAAGTGACCCTTGGAAGAATTTGAAAGGGCCATGTTTCGAGTTTTTGGAAACTCATCATCTGGTACCTCTTCCAAGTTAATGACCAAAATAAAGCAAGTTTATCAAACTACTCTGGGGCCTTCGAGAGCTTTTAGCTTAGAAGAATTAAGAGGAGGCAAATGTATATGTGCACCCATGTCACATAAGCACTGTTTTTCATTCTGAATGGAAAAAGCTGTCATATGAACCTGCTAGGCAGTTAAAGTAGTTAAGTTTATAATTTCATTCTACCCTTTTAGAATAGATACTTTATCAGAAAACAGATACTTTTTTTCTTGTGTGAAATTGTTTTCTAAGTGGGAGGGGGGCTTAATATCTAAAGCTGATATTTAACTGAGAAAGCCACAAAATTAGCCTGGGGAAAGATGAGATTAAAGAGTTCCCTGGTATCAAGCAAATTTTAAATTATGATTTGTCAGAAACATGATGAAATAAGATTTGAGTGGTTCAATTCCAAAAGATAATAGTGAGAAAAATGTGACACACTACAAATGAGTAAAAACGCACATTTCAGGTAAAAAACAAAAACAACATGTCTTTTCAACCATATGTTTTCAAGAGAAGTTACAACATTGTCAGAGTCATCCAAATGAATTAATTAACTGAATCATAAAAAATGTATTCACATCTATTATTTACTTGTGTGTTAGGATCTGGTAGGACTAGGCATTACCTTTTTTTTGACTAGACAATGTGACTAAGGTTTCAGACTGCTGAAAACAAAACAAAACAAAACAAAAAACCCAGAGGATTTGTACCATTCCTTAACTTCCTATTAAAGACAATACAGGCAACATTAATACATTATCCACATTGCTTTTAGCTTTCCATCAAAAATGAAATTTCTCGGGACGCCTGGGTGGCTCAGTTGGTTAAGCGGCTGCCTTCGGCTCAGGTCATGATCCCAGCGTCCTGGGATCGAGTCCCACATCGGGCTCCTTGCTTGGCAGGGAGCCTGCTTCTCCCTCTGCCTCTACCTGCCACTCTGTCTGCCTGTGCTCGCTCTTGCTTCTCTCTCTATGTCAAATAAATAAATAAAATATTTAAAAGAAATGAGATTTCTCTGAATTTCTCTGATAGTACTGGACTACCAAATGTGTCCTTGTAAAGTGTAGACATACAGAGACTGATCAGAAGCTTGAATCCAAGCTTTAAGGGATGGCTGGGCCACTGTTTCAAATTCAAATGATAAGCCTTTGATGAAATTCAGTCATAACCTACCTGCTTGCTTCATTGAGAACAGTAAGAAGCAAGGTCTTCTGTTACTCTATAAGTAAGCATGATTTCAAAACCATGAGGAGCTTGTAGTGGGTTGAACAGTATACCCCCACCCCCAATATGTCCATGTCCTACCCTCCAGAACCTGTGAATGTGGTCTTATTTGGAAAAATAGTCTTTGCAGATGTAATTAAGTATCTTGAGATGAGATCATCCTGGATTTAGGGTGGACCTAAATGTGCCTAAATTTAGGGTCCCACCTAAATCCAATGACAGGTAAGAGACTGTCTATGCAAATAGTGGCCAGACCATATTATATAAATACAGCACTTTTACTGACAACCTGCAGCAACAAATTCAGGGAGCCAGACTATCCACAGTAATCAGACTAGGAAGCCATTCTGCTATCTATGTCAGACTTGTAGGAAGCTACACCACTATCTCTAATAACAATTCCAGAAGCCAAACAGTAAGTCCTGTAACAACTGGCTCCAGATGACCAGTATTTGATGAATAACTAACAGCTCCCCTAATTGGGACAAGTCAGAGAAAGCCAAAATGTACACACTTAGCCAACCACATAGGATGTCCCATTTCTAGTTAACTTACCTACAGCTTTCCTATACCAATAGCCTCCAATCAGGGTATACCTGAAGATTTCCTTTTTTTCCCCCACTATTAAAGCTTTCTTACTCTGCCAACACACAAGTGATAGTGGCTTACTCCCTTGCCATAGCAGACTCTGAATAATCTTTGCTTGTTCTCATATGGTTGGTCATTATTTCCACACAGGGGTCCTTATAGCAGAAAAGTAGAGGAAGATTTGAAAATCAGACATACATTAAGAAGACCATATGAGTATGAAGACCTAGAGTCTCAAGTCACAAAGCTCCAAGCCAAGGAACAAACACCTGGAGCCACCAGAAGCTGGAAGAGGCAAGGAAAATAAGACACTTTGAAGGAAATATGGTCCTGACAACACCTAGATTTGGGACTTCTGTTTCTATAACTTTGAGAGAATACATTTTATAATGACTCTCTGGTTAAACTGACTTAAAAAAAACAGATTTAGAGAAAATTTTTATACTATCAAGTTCCTTATAAAGTGTACACTTATATACTTTATAAAGTGTACACATTATAGTGTTTAATTGACTTTTTCAGTTTATTGCTAGGCTATGGGTCCAGACTACATCAATGAGAGGGTTTCTTTTGTATGAACAAAATGCTAAGGAAGAAGCACTTAATTCTGCCTGGTGAGGGAATGGGGATTCAAGGAAAGTTATGATTGAGCTTGGAAGATCTTAACAAGTAGCAGTTAGATAAGCATAAAAAGAGAAGGGTGTTCCAAGACGGAACAGCCTTTAGTTTGAGTGGCTTGGGAATAAGGCAGTTGTTTTTTAAAGCTAATTATGCATCTGAATCATCTGTATAGATTAAAACAAAATAAACATCAAAGAAAAACATGCCCAGACTTGACTCCTAGAGATTCTGATTCAATTGTATATTGAATGGGATCCCTAGATTATTTTAAGTTCTGTTTGTAGTTCTGATGTGCAGCCAGGAGAACCACTGGAATGGGGTGAATGAAGACAAGGTAAGAGAGTTAGGTGATGAGGCTAGATAGTCTAGGAACAAATGGTGAAAAGAAATGTTATGTAAATACAACACAATGACAAACTTTCTTCCCTGGCAACTTTCCTATTTTGAAATACTTTTAAATTTTTTACTGCTGGGTGCCTGGGTGGCTCAGTGGGTTAGACCTCTGCCTTCCACTCAGGTCATGATCCCAGGGTCTTGGGATGGAGTCCCGCATCAGGGTCTCTGCTCAGCAGGGAGCCTCTTCCCTCTGTCTGCCTCTCTGCCTACTTGTGATCTCTGTCAAATAAATAAATTAAAAAAAAAAAAAATTTTTTTTACTGCCACTACTGTTTAATGAAAGAAAATGAATTCCCATCATTGTAAAAACATGGATAAATGTTTTAAACCAGCTTTGTAACTCAAAAGATCTTTATTTTGCTTAAGGTAATATTTAACATAAAACAAACTCAGAGGGGCGCCTGGGTGGCTCAGTGGGTTAAAGCCTCTGACTTTGGCTCAGGTCATGATCCCAGGGTCCTGGGATTGAGCCCCACATCAGGCTCTCTGCTCAGCGGGGAGCCTGCTTCCTCCTCTCTCTCTGCCTACTTGTGATTTCTGTCTGTCAAATAAATAAATAAAATCTTAAAAAAAAACAACAACAACAAACTCAGAGAGTGCAGAGTGCAACCTCTGATCACGGGTACCATCAGCCGAAGGCTCTTAACGAATGCCCCACCAAAATCATGAAAATACAAATTTTGACAAAAACATCTGCTAGGGATACTGAACAGCGAGTTCCTATTATGGGTTGGTGATCCCAGCACCTAGTCAAATAGAATGGAAGCACTTGCCCACCTCCAAGTGCTCTTCCAAACTCCCAGATATCTAGGACTTGTACTCTTTCAGGTAAAACTTCTTCAGCAGTTATCGTCTGAGCAACAAGGAAGACAAAAGGGACCTCTCCTTCCATCATAACCAGTTCCACGGGAAGCACCCTTTCTCCTACTCTTCGAAGGCGGGACAGATTTTCCCTTTATCTTAGCATCTGTCCTCCATGTAGTAGCTGTTCGATATTTCTAAATGGATGTTATACTCTTTGAGGTTAGACAAGGGATGCTAATTTATCACAATTCTGAGAGTTACTGCCTTCTAATTTTCTACTAGCGGCACGTATTTTTAAACGGCCACACAAAATTTTGTCAGTGCAAATAGAGGAACTGTAAAGAGTGTTCGTCCAGTCCAGTCAGCAAGTAAGGTGGAATCAGCAAAAAGGCAAAGGAAGGTTCAACCAAGTGTTTCTGGGAACAAAAAAAAGCCACACAGTGTAAAAAACAGCAAGAAGTACAAACAAATTCCACCCAAGGAGGCGGATTACTTGAACCCTGGATGGGGCAAATTTCCAAGGGCTAACACAAGCTGGTTCTCAGGGTTGGACTCCGGTGATGAAACCAAGTGTCTGACCCACATGGCTCGTCCTCGAGCGTTTGGGGGAGCGGACTTGGGGAGAGGGCTTCCATTCGCAGGAGGGAGTCTGCCATTTGCTCCCCGGGTCCCCGCCTCTCCTTAGGGGCCCGCCTGCCTTCCCGGGGCCGCGCTCCCCTTACCCGCCCGCCAGTCTTCCAGACGCCCCTCTCCCCTCGCGGGCCCACCGGTCCCCCTCACTGACTTGCCCCCTCACTGACTCGCCCTGACTCCTTGCCCGCCTGCTGCTCCCCTCGGCGGCCCACCCGCCTTCCCGCTGCCTTGCACCCCTCACCCGCCCAGCAGCTTTCCAGCCGTCGTACTTACCTCTTCAGTCCGCCCCCGTCACCTGGCTCGCCCTCCCGCCAGCATGCTCCATTCGCCAGCCTGCCCTCCTGTCAGCCGCCCCGCCCCTCACGGGTCGGCGCACCGCCCGCCCCCCTCACTGGCCCGCCAGCCAGCCAGCCCCTCGCCCCTCTTAATGGTCTACCTTCTGGCCGACCCCCTCTCCTCGCCCGCCTGCCAGCCTGGCAGCCGTCCCCCTCCCCTAACCCGCCCGCCTTGCCGCCGCCCTGCTCCCGGCACCAGCCTGCCTGCCTGCCAGCCGCCCAGTCCCCTCACCGGCCCGCCCACAGCCCGCCCCCCTCATGGGCCCGCCCCCCTGCCCAGGGTCCCGCCCACCTGCCGGCAGTCCTGCTCCCCTCACCCGCCCCGCAGCCTCGTAGCCGCCGGGCTCTCTTGAGGGGCTCGAAAGCCTGCCAGCCGTCCGGCTCCCTTCACCCGCGCGCCAGCCTCTCAGCCGTCCCGCTCCCCTAAGGGGCCCGCAAGCCTACCAGGACCCCGCTCCCTTCACCTGCACGCCCGACGTCCCTCCCCACTCAAGGGCCCGCCCGCCGCCCGCCGCCACGCCGAGGTCACGGCCCGCCGTCCCAGCCCCGGCAGCTGACCCGGCTGGCTCCGGCTAGAGGGCTCTGGTTCCTGTTTCTCTTGCCTCAACCGTGCGGCGTAGGACGGTGTCGACGGGCTGCGCTGACCCGGAACTGCTGAGGCGGCCGCGGGGGCCGGCGCTGGGCTCCTCTCTGGCTTTCCGCTGGTGCCTCTCTGTACCCAGCCCTCTTCTCCGCTCGTGCCTCCCTGCAGGTCGCCGGCCTGGCTCAGCCCCGTCCTCCGCAGCCGCTGGGCCCCAGCCGTCGTGCCCACGTCTGGCGGGGCGCCCGTGGTGGGTCGGCGGTGAGGTGGGTGAGGTGGCCCAGGCGCTGCAGCGGCGGAGTCGCGGGTCGGGCTTAGAACTCCAGGTGCCACGGTCGTGGCTTCCGGGTTCCGTCCAGGCTCCGGGTGGGGGGTGGCGGCGCCCGGGCGTCTCCGAGCTCGCAGAAGCCGGAGGGTGCAAGCCGAGGCGGAGCGCCCACAGGCGGGACGGGGAAATCTGCCTGCGCTGGGCATCGGTGGGGTCAGAAAGTCTCAAGGGGGCGGGGAGGAGGCGGTGAGGCGCCCGGGCTGGTGGAGACCCAGCACGGGATCGGGAGGGGGACAGATGCTTTTGGTGGCATTTCCCAAGGCAGAAGGGAGGATGGTTGTCACTCCCCTCGCTTCTCTCAGTGTTTTTCAAACCTGGCGAGATGAACTTCCATGGGAGCCCAGTACCGTCCGGAGTGGAGGTTGGGAGTGGCTGCAGGAGAAAAGCGCCCTGGGCCGCGGGGGTCACCACCCAAGGCGGCTCCTGAAGAGAAAGCGACTTCCTGGGCTGGGAGGGGAGAAGATCTGCGCGGGGCGGGGCCAGGTACGGAGTAAGGAAGCAGGTGGGCAGTACGTCTGTTCCAAATCCTAGAGTGCTGTGTAAATCCTAGAATCGTTTCAGCTTTTATTCCCTTAAAAACGTAAATTTTAGATGCGGCTCCATTAACCTATTGAAGGCCCCGATATTTCATATGAAGGGGTGTGAACTAACATGCCAGTCATGTCAGGATTAATGATACACATATACCATAATTTGCCACCCTGTAATTAAAAAGCAGGACTTTGTCTAAGTTAAGTAATTCCCTACTTAAAATTTGCTGTATGAAAAACATCACACACACACACATACACACAGAAACTGTTGCTCTACTGGAAAGATGTACAAATCACTTTGACAAAACGAATTGAAAGATGGTTCCACGTTCATGGTTCTCTTAGGACAAATAATGGACTAGCTTTTCTTGGAGTCATCTAGATCTACTATTTTTTTATGTTCTTAGATCGGTAAAACTTTTTTTTTTTTTTAAACGTAGGTACACATTTGTAATTATGAGAAGATTGATATAATTTTGCATTCTTAGGCTAATTTTTCTTTGTAGGTGATTTCTTAGGCACAGAAATCTTTGAAGGGCCTTGTACCCTCCTGAAGGATGGCAGAAGCAGTGTTGGTTGATTTCTTTGGTTTGAAATTTAACTCTCAGAAAAACAGTCATCAGGCATTACTGAAGACATTGAATGCTGTCAGATACCACCATGCTGCCAAGGCCAAGTTTCTTTGTATAATATGTTGCAGTAACATCAGCTGTGAAAGGGATGGTGCGCATAATCACTGTGAATTAGAAGCAAGCAATGGATTATCAACTCTCTTGAGAGGATTTGAGACTGTTAGCAATCCTAGTATGGCTGCCTCTTTGTATACTATTAAGCAAAAAATTGATGAAAAAAATTTGACCAGCATTAAAGTAATTGTACCCATGCACCGGAAGACATTACTGAAGGCTTTTATTGATCAGCTCTTCACCGATGTTTACAGTTTTGAGTTTGAAGACTTACAGGTGACTTCGAGGGGAGATCCTTTGAAACAATCCACTGAAATAAACATGATCACAGCTGAAGAAGTAGAAGCAATCCAGAATGAAATTCAAACATATTTGAGAAGCCTGCCAGCACTGAGAGGAGAGTTAACCATTATCACATCTCCTTTAATCTCAGGTGTGTTAAACACTGTGTTGTTTCTGTTGTATACATGAAAAACTAGTCTTTCTTTAGAGGTTGTTCACCTCCCCCCCCTTTCTTTCATAGACTATAGGTTTATTATCTCACTGACCTCAGTTGCAACATGGGAGTGTGAGAGATGTGAAGGGATACCAAGGGATAGTCCCTTCAATGCCACCCTTAACAAATAAATTTGCTTTATGCAAATTCAGTTTTAAGACAAATTCCCCAACCTGCCTTTAAAATGAGATTCATGACCCTAAGCATCTCCTGTTTAGAAATTCTGATACTTTAACCCATTGGCACCTTCACAGAAGAATAAAATTTTAAAATGTGAGTCTTACTTCTTGGTTAAATGATATTTACTGTGGGCTATATGCTGTTAGTAATAACAGACAAATGGGACAGAAGATACTCTTTGAAGAGCAATAATCCCATGGGGAAGGTAAAGCAAACATAAAGCCATATATAACAGAACACATGAGGTACACAGTGCTGTAGAAATTGGAAGCTAGAAAAACATGCCCCTTGAGGTGATCAGGGAAAGTCTTGCTGAGACACTGGGTTTGTAAGATTTTATAGTCTTTTGTATAGCATGTTTTTACTCTTCGTTACTTCTATTCAACAGATATTTTCTTACACGGATTTACTACAAGAACAGGTGGAATATCCTACATCCCAACTCTTAGCTCATTCAACCTCTTCAGTAGTTCCAAAAGGAGAGATCCCAAGGTTGTTGTTCAAGAAAATCTGCGTAGGTTGGGGAATGCTGTAGGATTTAATGTGGAGAAATTTTACCGAATAAAGGTAAAATTTTGTTTCATGTTTTAGAAGATCTAAAATATATTCATGACTGTGCTAATGACTACATGGACTTTAATCAAGCTATTTAACTTTTGCATCTGGTGTTTTATCTAAAATTTTAGGATAATATGGTTGTTTTTCTTGGATCTATACACTATAGCCTAAAAATCAGTTCATCATAGCTATATTTCACCTGAAGCTTCTTGTATCTAAAAGTATAGTTAATTCTTATAGTACCACTGCCCTTTTTGACTTAGAAAGAAGATTCCAGAGTGGCGGGAGAAAAAGGCCATTATTTTCTAAATTAACATTAGGAGGAACTAGGATCACTATTGATGCCTTGTTTGTTACAGAATTCTAGCTTTATTTGGGTCAGGAAAAGTAAGAATATCTTTAATTTGGTAATTAATTTAACTTCTTTCCATAAATAGTACTTTATGGAAAGTGCTGCAAGTAGAGATTTACCCATCTCTAGTAGGAGATGTTTGTGATGGACTGTATTGTTAAGTGTTAAAGTCTGTTTTCCTTTGAATAAAATGTACAGAGATTATAATACCAAAAGTTAAATGACAAGTAAATTTGGTATTTTACTATCGAAGTGATATTTTTAATGCTTGCTAGTAATATTAAACTGGTTATATAATTTTGTACGAAATGAGTATTTTCAGAAAAGGCTTATGGTATCAGAAATTCTACTTTCAAAATATTTTTATCACACGTCTTTGGTATTAGACTGATCATGCCAATGACATCTGGATTATGGGAACGAAGGAACCTGAATCTTATGATGGAATCACCACAGATCAGAGGGGAGTCACAATAGCAGCTCTTGGTGCTGACTGTATACCAATTGTTTTTGCTGATCCTGTCAGAAAAGCATGTGGTGTTGCTCACTCTGGTAAGTGTACTTAATTAAGCATTTAGGATTTTACCACTTTTGCAGTATAGGAAAAGTTATAATTTCTTTCTAGTGGGCATGACAGTTAATTACTTTACAGGTATTAAATATAAAAATAGGAGTAGAGCCAGCATACTTTTATTATAGGAACAGATGAAAGCAGTATCTAAGTCAAATTACATGAATCAGAGTAGAATTCCCAAAGGAAGCAGTACCCAGGCTGATTCTGGAGGAATTTGCAGGACTTGACTAGGTGCCAGGGTTTCTCAGCAGGGTTGCTGTTAACATTTTGGGTAAGATAATCTTATATTGTAGTTTGCTTGGCTTTCAAAATTTCTAATGCCAGTAGCACCCCAGCTGTAATAACAACAACAGCAGCAAAAATCACCTCCATGCTTTTCAGAACACTCCAGAGGGAGTGGTACTGGCTCTTGTTGAGAACCTTTAAAGTCTAGGCAATGGGGACCAAGAAGATAAGGTATGTTGGAGAAAGGTATTCACGAGGATGAAGGTGCAGCAGCATATATGTAAAGGTATGGAGGTAAGAAGCAAGATATGTTTGGAAAACTGCATTTAGTTTAATATATTATAGTCTAGTGCCTTTAAATATTATCTAAAGTTAAGAACAAAGGATTTTCATTGTTGTGTTAAGGTTATGGAATTTTGTTTTCTGAAGGTATTTTAAAGTGCTATTTAGATTATCCTGTGGCCATGACTTTGTGAAATGAGGGATGATCTTTGATATTTCTTTCTGCTTGTAAATCTGACTATTGTGCTTTTTAGACAAAAAAATAAGAAGGTGGCATCTTTTTCTTCTGATCTAGCTAAAGTTATGGAATTGGATGACTAGAAGTCACATTTATGATTTGACATTGTCAAAAAGTTATTTGAGTCTTCGATTTTGGATATAAAAAGAGAATCTTATTTGTTACTTCTTAGGTTTTGAAACATTATTTTTAAATATCAAAGATTAAAGCTGTCAAAATGAAACACTCTTAAATAAAGTTAAAAGTCTGACATTTTCTGATTTCAAAACTTGTTATAAAAATATATAAAAAAAGAGCCCAGAAATAAACCCTTGCATATATGATCAAAAGATTTTTAACAAGGTACTTGGAATATACAGTGGGGAAAGGATAGTCTCTTCAACAAATAGTACTGAGAAAAGTGGATATTTACATTCAAAAGAATGGTGTTAGATCTTTATCTTACATCGTATATAAAAATTAACTCAAAACAGGTTAAAGACCTAAATGTAAGAGCTAAATCTATAAAACTTATTAAAGAAAATGTAAATCCTCATAAACTTGGTTTAGGCAATGATTTCATAGATATGAAACCAAAAGCACAAGAAACAAGGGTAAAGACCGATAAATTGAAATTCATCAAAACTAATAAACTGCATCAAAGGACACAGACAACAAAGTTAAAAGGCAACCCATGGAATGGGAGAAAATATTTGCAATTCGTATATCTGATAAGGGGTTAATGTCCAGAATATATAAAGAATCTACAACTCAACAAAAAAATCAATAACCCAGTTAAAAATGGGCAAAGGGCTTGAACAGACATTTTTCCAAACATGATAAGCAAATGGCCAACAAGCAAATGATGAAAAGATGCTTAATGTCACTAATAATTAGGGAAATGCACATCACAACTATAATGAGATATCACCTAACACCCATTAGGATAGCTAATATTAAAAAAAGAAATAAAAAGAAAATAGCAAATGGTGAAGATGTGGAGGAATTAGAACTCTGATGCACAATTGGTGGGAATGTAAAATAGTGCGCTGCTATAAAAAATAGTATGGTGGTTCCTCAAAAATTTTAAAATAGAATTACCATATGATCCAGCAGTTCTACTTCTGGGTATATATCCAAAAGAACTAAAGCATACCTGTGCTTATAGCAGAATTATCCATAATAGCAAAGATGTGGAAGCAATACAAGTTTCCATAGATGGATGAATGGATAGGCAAAATGTGATAAATGCATACAGTGGAATATTATTTAGCATTAAAAAGGAAGGAAATCCTTACATCTGAATGAGGACCTTGAGGACATTATGTTAAATGTAGGAAGTCAGTCACAAGAGACACTGTAAGATTCCACTTATATGAGGTATCTAAAGTAGTCAAATTCATAGACACAGTGGAATGGTGGGTACCATGGGCTGGGGCAAAGTGGTGACCAGGAATTGTTATTTAATGGGCATTGAATTTTGCAAGATGAAAAAGTTCTAGAACTTGGTTGCACAACAATGTGAATATATTTAACACTACTTAAGTATACACTTAAAAGGAGTTAAAATGGTAAATTTAATGATATGTATATTTCCTCCCCCCAAGTTTAAAAAAAGTGTCTAAAAAAAGTGAAGGAGAGAGAGAAGACTTATAAGGTATAATCCCACTGGAAACTAAAAGTATAGAATATTTTTAAAGGAAGTGGAAGGGACCTCCCATTACATATCTCCCCCATGTCAGGTGGTCTGCATAGTGTACCTCATTTAAAAACCAGTGTTTTAGGGTGTCTGGGTGGCTCAGTCAGTTAAATGTCTGCCTTAAGCTCAGGTCATGATCCCAAGGTTCTGCTTCTCCCTCTCCTCTCCACTCTGCTCTCTCTTGCTCTCTCTCTCTCAAATGAATAAATAAATAAAATCTTTAAAAAAAAAATAAGAAAAATAAAAACCAGTGTTTTTGTTAATTGGTTATTTAGCTTAATTAATTGATCTTGTGATTCATTGCTATTTCTGGACTTTGAAAAATACGCAGACTAACTCTGCTCATTTTTAAGTTAGAGATAAATTAAGGTGAAATGCTATGTTTTAACTTCCTTTATCTCTTTTTCTTCCTATTTACCAGGTTGGAGGGGTACTTTGCTAGGTGTTGCTATGGCTACAGTGAATGCTATGATCACAGAATATGGGTGTAATTTGGAAGACATTATTGTTGTACTGGGACCTTCAGTAGGACCTTGCTGTTTTACTCTGCCAAGGGAATCAGCAAAGGAATTTCATAATCTTGATCCTGAATGTGTACGGTTATTTGATTCACCAAATCCCTATGTTGACATTCGTAAAGCCACTAGGTATGTTTGATTTCATTCCAAAACTGCAAGTTTGGTTATTGCTTATTGTTTCTAAAGTGAAAATCATTTTAGACAACAATTAGTAACTCCAAGAAAAATTGAGGTGGCAGACAAATAAGTAGCTGACATACATATTTTATACAAAAACATATTTTGATTATGAAATCTATTCTCATTTAAGTTTGACTAACAGAAATTTTCCTGTTATCTCTTATTAACTTAAAAGTGCAGGAAGTTATTATTCGACTTATAGTTTTGAGAGATGTACTTAAACTTCATATAGAAAGTTGACATGTGCTTCATAGTCTTTCTTCAGCTGAAATCTGTAATGTAATAAACTATCAGGAAGATGATATTTTAAAATTATTTTTATTCTCTAGTTAGAGGAATGTATTTCTTAGCAAGAATGTTAGATAATATAAGCACATAGTCACTCTCAAGCTTTCTATGGTCCCTTTCAATTTTGAATTATGAAGTTTTGCTATTAAAAGCCATTATTTGTTATTTCTAAAAAAGAAAATTGATTTTAATTGTGTTTCTATTCTAGTCAACAAAACGTTGCCCAGATTCTGCCTCATTTAGCATATAGAAAGGATTGAAATTGATTGTTAAATGTGACTTGCGGAATTAATATCACTAATTAATATTCATATTTCATATTGTAAAGTATTTATAGAGAAGCAATTTCTCTGTGAAAATCTGTTAATAGGAGGACAAGAGGTGGGAGGGCCAAATGACAAAAAGCATCTCTGTCTGAATCAGATGAATCTTGTCTGCAAATATCCTTGTAACTTTAGATGTTTCTTCTAAATAAGTACTTGATTTTGATTATAAAATTCTGGACCCAGGTCATGTCTGCAGGACAATATAGAAAGTTTTACAGTTCGTATGTAAACTTAAGTGATTAATGGTGATAAAATCTTCCAAATTCCTGACTTGTTCATGTTTTGTATCTGAAAACCAATTTTCATTGTTCCAAGCAAATCTTTCCCAGAATTCTTTTACACCAATATTCATATGTATGTATTTTTTACTGCTTTGGCTAGGTAAAATAAACTCTTGGTATCTTTGAAAAATCTTTATCCTAAGGATTCTTCTAGAACGGGGAGGAATTCTACCACAGAATATTCAAGACCTGAACCAAGATCTTGACCTCTGTACGTCCTGCCATCCTGACAAGTTTTTCTCCCATGTCCGAGATGGCCTTAATTTTGGTACACAGATTGGCTTCATATCAATTAAAGAATGAGGTACAGCGGGTTCTTCCTCTCCCTTTACCTCTTTTCTTTCTCCTCTTTCCAGCTTTCCCTCCCCTCATTTTAAAAAATAGTTAATTATATTTAACTTTGTCCCTTTATTCTTGTAGGAAGAATTAATTTTCTATTTTTAGTGAGGCAGTAGAGGTAGAAGAGTTAATTTTTAGGGACATGCTCTAATATAAAGAATAGCCACTCCTTTTCCTACTTAACAGGCCAGCCTATAAATATACAAATGAAATAATTTATTTTAAAAATCCTGTGTGTATACCATTTATCTCCTACATACTTGACATCAGTATATTTCCTATCATAACATCTTTAAAACTTTATTTTTTATTGCTTTGATTTTTGAGAAGAAATCTTTGCATAAAGATTCTAAATTCTAGAATAATAAAAAGTCCTCACATATCCAAACTGGTGTGGTTTTCAACTAGATTTGCAACTGATTATCTGTAACAGGGGTTGGCCAATTTTCTTTAAAGTTTAGATAGTAAATATTTTTAGGCTTTGTAGTACATACAGTCTCTGTCTCAACTACTTAGCTTTGCCATTGTAGAGCAAAAGCAGACAATAAAAACACAAAATGAGTATGACCGTGTTTCAGTAAAACTTTATTTTTAAAAAACAGATGTGGGGCCAGGCAGGTTTGGCCTACAGGCTATAATTTGCTGATACATGATCTATAGTCATAGAGTAAGACTGAGTATAATTTCATTAAATTAGTATTTATTTCAGATTTTTTTTTTAGAGCTATACAAAAATATTTCATGACAGTGAGTTAGTGCTGACCCTTTAGCATATATCTACTTTTCTTTAAGTTTACTCTTAACTGAATTAATGTTATTTTTAAGCTTCACGATGTCTTTAACTCTTTAATATACAAAAGACTTTAGCAGGCCTAATGATCCTTACCTTGATATTGTAATAGCACTAGTAAGGGTCTTACATTTGTTTTCTGTGTATTTTTACAGATACTTGACTGGATATTTCCTGCTTCCTTCTAAACTGACTACAAGAGAGAAATTTAGCTGTTTGATTTACTTAAAACTGAGAGGATTACAATGGATAATTCATCTTTAGGTATATTTTCAGTATTAATCCAAAGCCAAATGAGTTTCATTTGATTCTAGCAAAATCTAGATGAAGATTATTCTTTAGGTTTGTTCTGTTTGTTATATAAATCAGTAATAGGGCTGTTCAGTTCAGTATTTACTGGGTATACCCTATTTGTCAGGCATTGTGTGAAGAATATCTGAATCAAAGTGAGTTAGACCTTTTCACCTTTAGTCTAATGCAGTGAAGGAGATAAACACTTATAATACTTAAATTTAATTTTGATAGCAGCAGAAGAGTACAGAAGAAGGAAGGTTATGGAAAGTGCCATAGAGAAGATGATGTATCACATGGGCCCAAAAGATGTACAGGCTTTTGACAAATGAAGAACAGCCATAACAGGTAGAGGGAATACCATGAACTAGGGCTATGAAATTGAAAGTGTAAACCATGTTCTAGAGAGAGAAGGGTGTAGGCAGAAGTTACTAGAAAAACAGGTTGGAAAGAGATTAGTCTCAAATGCCATGTCAAAGAGTGTAGGGTTGATTTTCCAGGTAAAGAATAAACACAAAAAACAGGGTAGTGTTTTTATTTCCTTAGCATCATTTGTAACAGGGTAACATTTGTAACAGGGTAGTGTTTTTATTTCCTTCACATCATTTGTAACAGGATGGATTTAAATTGTGAGAGACCAAAGCAGAAAGACTTATTTAAGAGGCAAAATATTTTTAAAAAGAAACAATGAAAGCAGTGGAAATTAAGATGGATCAGACATAGAGCCAGTAGATCCTCTTAACAGATAACGAAGATGACAGCTAAGAAGGAGTGCAGAAATCATTGATGACTCTAAGCTTTCTGCTTGGTTGTCTATCAAGAACAGCAACAAAGGGAACGAAGATGTTTGGGAAAAGGGGGAACAGTGAGTTTGACATGTGGACTGAAGTATATCCAGTGGATATATTTGGTCAATGACTAGAAATACAGACGTCACATCTTGCTGGGAGCTGGTAGAAAGATACAGATTTAGAAGCTGGCTGTGCAGAGATGAGGCCCAAGTTTGCCGGAGTAGGCTGAATCATCTAGGCAGAACTACATGGTGAGAAAAAAGGAGGTTCAAGGGTGAAACCTCATACAACACGTACATTTGAAGAACAAGAAGCTGAACAAGTTAAAAAAAAAAAAAAAAAGATGAATCATCAGAAATAAGGGGGAAAAAGCAGAGTATACTTATTTTGAATAAAGAAGCCAGTATGAATGTGAGAGGTACTTGGAATTTCCAGAGATACAAGGTACAAGAAATTTTCAGAGATAGAATAAAATGTGGAATGAGAAGGAAACCAGTGCATTAACCATATCAAAGCTGTTCTACAAGCAATGGTGCCAGAGTCCGATTTCAGTGCATTGAGGAGGAATATGCATAGATGTCCACTCTTCTTTGATAGTATTTAGCAGAGAAAATAAAGCACTGGGAGCTGTGTCTCGAAGGAAGGGGTATTTTTTTTTCTTTTTCGACCAGTACTTGTAAGTATATTTGTAGGCTGAAGAGAGAAGTCAAGCTGTTTTCACTTGGGAGAAAATGGTGTGACATGTAATATATGACATGTATTTTTAATATGAGTAGTTATATTGCATCTTAAAAATTTTTCTTATTTTATACACTTGTTCCTAACTGTACATGCAGTAGCATAATGGAAAATTACATTTGTTAGGTATTTACAAAGGACTTTTACATACATTACCTCATTTTACCTTTGTAGCTACTCTGAAATACATAGGTCAGTTGTTACTCTCTTTATTCAGATGAGAAAACTGAGTCTCACTGAGGTGGAGCTTAAAATCATATAATTTGTGGTAAAATAAGATTTGACCCACATCTTGTGACTTAAAATCTCATTTCAGATTTTACAGTTAATCAAAGATATCTAAGTTGATTTTTATTTTCAACTTTTTGTTAATATCATCCATTCAACCAAAATTCTGTTGAGATACTAGGGTAGGTTAAAAAAAATCCAGTTGTTATCTTTCAGATGTTTAATATCTAGTGAAAGGTGGCAGTCAATAAACCAGCAATTTCAATACTGTGATTTATGTTGTAAATTTTCACAACTTGATACCTTGTTTAGTTGAATTCTTCTATGCAACTCGTAACTCAGTGTAAAATTTAAATAAAATACCTCATTTCTTCCAGCTGATGGAAGGCATTAAACAAAAAGCATAGGACAATAATTTCAAACTCATGCAAAAAACTTTTATGTTTAATGATAATTGTAAAGATAAAGAATAATTTCACACATTTAGAAAGTATGATAATTTTCCAATTCTTCACTGTGTATTATTTTGTTTGAAGTTTACAAATTTACAAGAGTATTAGGTGGCTGGGGTGCCTGGGTGGCTCAGTCAGTTAAGTGTCTGCCTTCTGCTCAGGTCATGATCCCCAGGGTCCTGAGATTGAGCCTTGTGCTGGGCTCCCTCATCAACAGGGAGTTGTCTTCTCCCTCTGTACTGCCCCCCACTCACTTGCGTGTGTGCTCTTTCTCTCAAATAAATAAAATCTTAAAAAAAAAAGTATTAGGTGGCTGTATATCACTTTATGTACCAAAATATTCTAAAACCAAATAAAAATTATGTTTGATTATCTGTGATTTTAGATTATCTGCTTCAGAGTATTTAACGAAAAGTCTCCTTGCTGTTTTACTGAGTAAAAAATCTTGATTCAGTAACTCAGAAACAGAATGAATAGGTTGTTAAATAATCATATCTTATTAACTCTATAAGATCTCTGTCACTCTCAAGCATTTATATATAGGTTTCTGGGACTTTGAGGGTACAGCCACAATGATAATTTTTATTTTTATTAAGTTTTGTTTTCACTCTAAGCACTACTACTAATTGCACATAGGAAGTACTGGTTGTCATTTTATTAAGAAGAGGAATTAAGTTTGTAAATCAGATGAGAGTTCATGACATTCTTTTGGAGGTACTAAGTATCAAGCTGGAATTGAATTGTAACTTTAAATTGTGAATAATGGCATAGTGACTATGCCATTAGTGACATAGTGAATATGCTATATTCCCGTGCTTTATAAAACAAATTTAAAAAGTGATCTTTCCACTAGGAGGCAATATTTCTACAAGTAGCTCTGTTCTGTTTCTTGACAGAAGGTTGAGCCAATCTATTCTCTGTATTTACTTATACCAAAAAAGGGGGGAGGCATTTAAACTTAATGAATGCATTGCTCCTACTTTATATGCAAATTTTAGTTCAAGTATATAAAATCATTTAGGAGCCCTGACCCACCTGGAGCTATCTTACTTCTTCAGAATCTCCATACTTTTTCTGTAAGTAGATTTTTTTGGGGAAAAATTCACAAAAACTTATTCTGTGGTACATGACAAGAACATAAATAATACCCACGGATTCAAAAGCTGGAGGATAAGATGTCAATTACATATGAATTATATTATTTTATATCCCAAAGTGGATTTGATATCATTTTCACTTGGTTGTTCTAAAGTTATGCTTACAATATATCCATCCTACTTTTTATGTGAACTCTTGGAGAATGCCACCAGTCTACAGAAGTTCAGCACTTTCAAGAAAGCCCTTCTCAGTTTTCTATATGTTTGTGTGTATGTGTGGATCTGAGTGTTCATGCTAAATGGCAAGTGAGAAATATGTACGTGTTGTATGGGATACATAGCCTCTTTGCCCTAAATATAAATCCACAAAAAACACATTGGGTGCAGTTAAATTACAGATTTCTTTCTATAAAGTTTTTGTAAATTGTGGGAATCATGGTTTATGTGCTTACTATGTATGTTTATGGGAACTGTGGTCTAGAGCACCTATGTTTCCTTTGTAGGCAGTGTTTTTAAGCTTGTGATTTCAGAGATGGGGCAGTTGCTACAAATAATACATTATTCTGTGCTAGATCTTTGTTTAGTGAAGGAAAAAGAATCTACCAGTACTATAGATTAACACATTTAGTTTGGACACATGATGATGCATGTCTCCATGTGGAGACAAATTTTTCCTACTGTCCTTAGATGCTTTTTTTTTTTTAATGGAGAAATAAATGCTTACACCGTATTTCCTGTGTCCCTGTACCAAGTGCCTGTGGTAAACTATGTCCTTTCTATATCTGGAGCAGGCTTTTTGTTTTATTTAATTCTTGGAAGGCGGGGGTGTCCAGTTACGTATTTTATTAAACAACTAAAATTTCCAGCAGACTCTTTAGCTCAAAATGTCACATTTCTTTCCAACAACAACAACAACAAAAAGAGTACTCTCATTTCATGAGAAACTTTTGTAGAAAATAGATTTGTTCGTGGTAACAATTGAGTTTTGAGTTTTTAACGTCCTCCATTTTCTTAATTCTTAGTTTTGTGTTGCACATTGCTTCAGTTTATATCTTACACATACTTTCCTATTCCTTTACTTTCCTTAAGTACGTTTTAAAGTTATATTTTCTTTCTTTTTTTTTTTTTAGAGTTATATTTTCTTATCCCCCACCATCCTGGTTTTCTTTTCTTTTCTTTTTTTTTTAAAGATTTAATTTATTTATTTGACAGAGATCACAAGTAGGCAGAGAGGCAGGCAGAGAGAGGGGGAAGCAGGCTCCCTGCTGAGCAGAGAACCCGATGTGGGGCTTGATCCCAGGATCCCGAGATCATGACCTGAGCTGAAGACAGAGGCTTTAACCCGCTGAGCCAACCCAGGGGGCCCCATCCTGGTTTTCATAATCGATGTTTCATATTCATAAGGTAACTTAATTCTTTGAATTTTATACTTTCAAATACATACTCAGACTCATATATAAAGTTCTTTATTGGACATATCCTATGCACTCCTCAAAACAATATCCTCCAGCTTACCATTTTCCCTCCAAAATTTGTTCCCCTCTCCTGTTCTGTGTCAGAGAATGAGATCATTTTCCATGAAGTAGCCCATCCAAAAATCTTAGAGTGTTTCACTAAAATAAGGTAAAGGAAAGGGGAATGTTACTTTTCCATAATTTACCTCTTCTTTTTCTATGCTTCTTCCTTTGTAAATCTATCATCTGTTCCTCTGTCTCTATCACAACTGCCAAATAGATCATCGTGTCTCACATACATCATTTGAGCAGCCTTCTAACTAGGCCTTCATTTAATCCCTTCTTTTATTGCTATTATTGATTGTTCTAAAATCCAAATCTGGTCATATTACATCCCTCTGAATTATATTATAGCTCTTCCACTGTCTCCAAGATAAAGACCTACTCGCTGACTTTTTTTAAGTGCTATTATGATCTCACCCCTGCTTACCTTTTCAGTTTCCACCATTCCCCAGTCTATATCATATTCCAGCCATTCTACTTTTATTGTTGTTGTTGTTGTTTTTCCATTTCCTAAAATATACATAAAGCTAGGTCAGACCAAAAAGGTTGGTTTGCATTCAAAGATTGACTAGAAGTCAAATTAAGTTTAAGGTTACTTTCACTTAGGCTTTCTACTAAGTTAGAAAACAAGTAGCACCAAGGACATAGGATATAAAAATCTAAGTTCACTCCAGTGTACCCCTAGTTTCTTAGGGAGATATGACCAAAATTCAGTTGTCAATGAAGTATATATTCAATGAGTAGTATGCCAGGTCATATATAGACAAAGCTCAGTAGTTTTTGTTCCATTAGGCAGAGTAAGGGGCCATGTTAATGTTCAAGGGTCTACTTTCTACTATATAACAAAATTTTGCTATATCTAAACATGAATTTTTTTTTTTTTTTTTTTTTTTTTTGCCATGTCATTGGGCTCACGGCAGGTCTTACCATTATCTTTTATAGTGGTGATTTCTCTTGCCTCCGGCTTTGTACCTACTGCTGGCTGTGTGCATAGCTTTTAAACTCATTTTTCTTGAATAACTCACACCATTCTTTAAGGCTCAGACAAGTGGTCATCTCTTCTAGAACATTTTCCTCGGTCATTTTCCTCACTAGCATCCTGTGCATCATGTTTTATAGTCCTCAGTGTACTGATTTTTAAATGTTGGTCTGTTTACTTGTCTACTAGTAAATGTAAGCTCCATCAGAGTAAGGACCATGTCTTACTCATCTTCACATTTTTAATATCTAGCAAAGATTAACATATTATAATCACTTATATCTATAGAAGGGAAAAAGGGAGGGAGAAGGGAAGGAATCTTTTAATGGT